CGCTTCCGCTTACATTTTGATGATTTTGACGAACTTATTATATTTTGACGAACTTTTAAGAAAATAAAGTTTTCAGTAACCGGACGTTTTTATTAAATTAAAACAACGGTTTTCTAAAGTTAAGTAACAATTTTTCACGGTAGCACCCTAAATCAGTTTCGCAAAGTAAAATGTTTTATTTTTCAAAGACTTTGCGAATTATTGCGCAACTCTGATTTTACAGTAAGGTGGGGTGTTACACACACTAAAACACGCAGATTAAGGGTATGTTTGGTAAGCCAAATAAGCTAGCTTTTAGCTTATTTGGTTAGCTTATAAGCTCCCTATTTAAAATAAGCCTCGTTTGGTAGGACGAGCTTTTTTAAAAAGCTCGAGCTTATTTCATAAGCTACTTTAGGTAGCTTTTCAAATAAGCTAGTTGAATTTTTTATTTCAGCTAGTTTATCACCTAATTTACCAAACACCTTTTATCATATAAGCTAGCTTTTCAGCTATAAGTGATAAGCTATAAGCTATAAGCTATAAGCTATAAGCTCAAAAATTACATATAAGCTATAAGCTAACTTATCAACTATCAACTAGCTTATCAGCTAGTTTTACCAAACATAGCCTAAATGGGACACTCTCGAGCTCTCTACAAAATCCGCGAGCTCGCGGTCGATGGCTTGCATAAGCGCACGGTGAGGAGGACTCTCGAGGTCGTGGCTGTTGGCGTGGGGTCGCGAGTGAGGCGGGCGGCACGGGCGCAGTCAGGGGCGCGCAGGACTTGGCACTCTCGAGCCCAGCAGCTTTCCCGTGAGGTCGCGGCGTGTGATGATGGACCACTCTCGAGGTCGCGGCCTCTTCCGCGGGCACGCGGGCGCGCTGGGGCGTTGCAGTCGGGGGACTCTCGAGGTCGCGGCCTCTTCTGCGGGCACGCGAGTGTCAGTTAGTCTTGGCGTGCATGCGGGCGCGGCGTGCGTGCGCGCGTGTTGGGCAGCACGTGCCCATCTCCACTAAGGACTCAACATATTCGACTGCAAATGGTTCGTTCGAAATGACTCGACTTGACTCAGAATTAACTTTGGAGTACTCGTCTTGAATCTCCTCATTCATCCTCGAAATAAATCTGAAATTTTACCACAAAACACGGGAAAGTACGCCAAAATACAAAATGAAACGAAAAATATAAAAACACACAGAAAACGATAAAATGGACCGGTCGATACGAAAACAAACCTAAACCGACTCGATAACGCACATAAACACCTAAAAATAAGCACAGAAATATAACAAACAGCTAGTTAAAGACAGATAGAACCTTTCATGCTTTCTTACACTTGAGAACTGATTCACAAACTGGGAGTTGAATCTATCAAAGTTAAGACTGAACTAACGGGCAACTGATGGAACCAATCTTGTGCCAACCCCTTCAATGTTGTAAGAAAATCTATATAGCAAACGACATCATTACGCTTATGAAGAACCACAATATTTTCAAGCGACATCAGGTGTTTGTCGAACCATAATATATAATACAAGTTTAGCTCGCGAAAATCATTAGGTAGATAGACCTCGAGGACTTCCCCGACAAAAGGATGGCCCTGCACCTGTGTTGCCATTCTGCCCCCGACTCAGACCAGCAAATCTTTCAGTTGAGTTGTCGATATATCCAACACGACATCTCGAGCTGGTCGCGATACAGCTGCTGGTGATGGAACTTGCTCACCTTTACTCCCTCAACCCTCCTCGGAGGTTGCGGCTATGGCGTAACAGGCTCTGGCTGTTTTGGCCCTTGGGCTCATGTCGGTTTCTCGGCCACAATTCTGTCCAGCTCTTCCCTAGTGAGCTGAATGACTTGTCCTCCTTGCAGGGCCCCATGTCCCTCAGAGTTTGGTACTACCCTTTGACTTAATATTGAGGTCGACCAACCATTAGGCCATCATGATGTTGGATGATGTTGTCTTTGATTGCTATCGACCTTTGCTCTCCTAGTTCTTGTGTACTTCTCTGCACTACTACCGACTTCTTGCATGTCAGGGATTCTCCCAATGTGCATACTACCGGGGTCACTGGCATGTGAGGCGCCGGTAGTGTCTCATGAGGTGTGACTAACGCGTCTGTCGACTTCGATCAGCCAGGTGGAGGTCATGTTCCTATTGTTTGACATATTTAGGCTTCGGCCATCTCTTTCAATAAATTCTTCTTAGAACCTTCTGCTGCCATGATCTTCGAACAGACAAGCTTATGGTGAGAAATCGATCAGCCACTTTATAGCCAGTAAAAGACTGAGAATATCCCACAGACGGCGCCAATCTGATGTGTCAATTTGGCACGGACCAAAGTCAACCGATCGATCCACGAACGTCCACCTTCCTCGAGCTCAGATGACCTGCAATACGCTGGGAGGGAATCCCGTGACACTCCTAGATTCAAGTCAGAACTAGTTCAACAATAATCTGATATATTATAAACTTGATGAATATATGTGCGATAATAATAACATAGAACTGTGCTACCTTTATATAGAGTGGATGTCTAGAAGAGAAAACCATATCTTTTTTTCCTAGTTTACTACCTCTCTATCCGGGTACATTTTTTAAGCAAGCTATACTTTTCATCCAACTAGGATTCTTTTTCCCTTCACCACATAGTCGACCTGAGGTCCCTAGGTCGTAACCACGACCTCCTAACCTCGTTTCTGTAAGACCTAGTCGCAGTCGTTACTCGACCTCTCAACCTTGTGACCTCTAAGTTTCGAGATCTCTCTTTGTATCTGAGCTCCCAGACGTCATTACCTCCATGTCATCTTAACAGGTAAACCAGTATGACCAGTACCCTGAGCTGTCTTCGCGAGCTCCTCGATTGGGTTATGTTATTCTTAGCGAGCTCGAGCTCCTCTAAACCGACCTACACCGAGTTAACTACTCAGGCCGGTCTGTTAAGCTATTCCGGATGTTACATCAACACACACCAAATACAAACACACACAAAAAAAAAAAAAAGAAAAACGTACTACACAACTAACACATTTTCTTAACTAACATATAAAATTCGTCGACATAGAAATTTTGAGGGTTCAAATCACTCTATTACCCCATTTATCCTCTTCTCTTTTTTCGTTATTCTTTGGCGGTTCCAAATTTCTGATTCTTTTTATGCAACCTTAGTGGGGGTGTAAATGACTTTATTTTATCGAACACATGGAATACACATCAAAATTAAGCAAAGACTTCATATTTAAATGATTATAACTAATAACATTACTCATACTGAAAGTTAGAGTTTTAAAGATCCAAAAAATGAAAGTGCTTAGGAAAAAAATTCGTAACCTCTCTTGCACACTTTCGTAAGTAAGATATAGAAGCCATGCAACACACACCAATTAGAGGATATTCACTTTCGAGATTGGTATATTTTCGCTTGGACCGTGATGATAGTGCCGAAATATTAAAAAAGTGTGTCCATTCATTTCACGATTTCAATTAAAAAATTATGCAACACTATATTCCAAAGGGCCCAGAGGCGTGGACATGATGAGTGTCTTAAATTTATTTGTTATCCTCACGAGTGCCACTGCATTTGGGTTCCCCAATCTCCACCACCCAATCCTTCATCACATTAATCCTTTCCTTCTTCTTCACCACTGTTTGCGGGATTTTGTTCTCTCATTCTTCGTTCTTTTCTCTTGTTAGGTTATCACTCGCATAATTTCTCTCTCCAGAGTTCTTCGCATAACATGGCTGCTGCTGTTAGCGCCGCTGTTTCCTTGCCTTCATCCAAGTCCACTGCCCTTCTTCCTGCTGCCAGGACCTCCGTCATTTCTCCTGAGCGGATCAATTTCAGCAAGGTACCAAATCACTGTGTTTATGCTATTATTGTCTCTATTTCACCATGTTGCGTGTGTTCGAGGGTTGTTTCACTCTATGTGGCACTTGGTATAGCACGATTCTCTTTCTCACACTACTGTATTTCTGCTTGCATGTCTGTTGCTACTGTATTACATAAATGATTGAGTTTTGGTTGTTGAATTTTAGCTCTGTACTAAATTTCCGGTTGTGAGTTTGATGTTTTTGATCGATATAAGCCATCATCTTCTCCCTGGTAGTTGAGTCTGTGTGTGTGTTTCTCTGTGTTGTGTGTGTGTGTCTGTGTGCGTGTGTGTGTGTGTGTGTGTGTGTGTTTGTGAATTTATAATGCTCCCTAAATCTGACTAGACGTGTTGCTGACAGGTGCCGTCTTACAGTAGGAATGGGCCATGGACAGGTGGGACGAGGTTTATGGCAGTCAGAGCCCAGGTGACCACGGAAGCGCCTGCCAAGGTGGAGAAAGTATCCAAAAAGCAGGACGAAGGTGTAGTTGTCAACAAGTTCAAGCCCAAGGATCCGTACACCGGCAGGTGCCTTCTTAACACCAAGATCACCGGTGACGATGCCCCTGGTGAAACCTGGCACATGGTCTTCACCACCGAGGGTAATTGTGTCTTCGAATTCCAATTTATAACAGTTTTTATCGGATTGAGGCTTTTTACGATTTACATTGTTTAATTTGAAGTAGTAGTTATTTGGCGTTGAGCAGGGGAAGTGCCCTACAGAGAAGGACAGTCGATAGGGGTGATTCCCGATGGCGTGGACAAGAATGGGAAGCCCCACAAGCTCAGGCTCTACTCAATTGCGAGCAGTGCTATTGGTGACTTTGGGGACTCCAAGACCGTAAGCCCTCTAATAAATCATCAAATTTTAAGCCGTAATAGATTTCAGTTGTTCATGCTCGCATGTTGCATATTTCTCTATAGTAAATCATTTAGCTATTTCTGTTTCATATTTCTCTATAGTAAATCATTTAGCTATTTCTGTGCAGGTGTCTTTGTGTGTAAAAAGGCTTGTCTACACCAATGAACAAGGGGAGATAGTTAAAGGAGTTTGTTCTAACTTTTTGTGTGAGCACTCAATTCCTAGAATTAGTCATTTAATGAGGTGATCTAACTTGTACTTTGTAGTCTTATAAAATGAGATGGCTGTTTGTTCTGGAATCCCCTAAATGTAGGTGACTTGAAACCTGGTGCCGATGTGAAAATAACTGGACCTGTGGGGAAAGAGATGCTCATGCCGAAAGACCCGAATGCAACAGTAATAATGGTATTATTATGCCCTTTTGAGGCCTTATTTTTCCTGCAAAGATTTGTTTCTTAAGCTGCATAAAGATCGAGCTGATACGCCATTGCTCTAAACTGTTATGGCCATGTAGCTTGCCACTGGGACTGGAATTGCCCCTTTCCGCTCATTCTTGTGGAAAATGTTCTTTGAGAAGCATGAAGATTACAAGGTAAAGAGCGATAGCTATTTATTTATGTTTTTTTTTTTTTTTTTTTTT